CAAGCTATAGCGTGCCCCAGCGATTTTTATGGTTGTAAATTATTAACTGTGGTTGAATTTGGAAGGAGGGACGTTAATGCTTCGTACTTCTATTATTCTTAACGCCATTTTACAAATATACGAGAATAATTGCTATTTTTCTCGTGTTCATAGGACCACCTTAAGCAAATCAATTCTAGATGAACGGATTTTAATGCCATTTTTATTTGTGGGGACGTTAAAACCACATTTACTACCAGCATGGAAATGAGGGCTTTACCTGTCCGCTGTATTTTAATGATAAATATTGAAGTTCGGCCATTTAGAGAACGAAATTCAATAGGTAAATGGTAAAGTTGTCCCTGCGCTTAGTTAGCTAAAAGCGGCCTCCGTAGTCTAGAGGTAACGTTCCCACCTCATGACTCGTGGTACGCGGGTTCAAATACCCGGTGGAGGTCGTCGAATTTTTAAGGGCGGAAAAATTCAGGGAACAAGTCCTCCGGGAGGGACTTTAAGCTGTGTGTCCCGTGTCGTAACTTTACGGCACGTAAAAGAACCTCATATCCCCAAAGGGGATCACTGAGCCAAATTCCAGGACGTTTCCCGCCCAACAATAGTCTCTAAGGCCTCTGATAGATGGGGGAAGCATTATAGACACCGCTAAGCAAGTGGCCGAACTCGCTTGCTCGGCGGGACTGATGGTACGCACCATTTATCGGTAGGGTAAAGAGACTGGTAGAATATCATAGAGGGAAGCACAATAGATAAAACTGGTCGCGGTGCATGGGGAAACCCACCCTCTCTAAATAACTAACTAACTAACTAGTTAGCTAAACACTGGCCCGTGGAGACATATGGGAAAGTTGATGTATACATCACCGTTTTCTTAATTTCGGCAACAGTTGGAGATGAGTGGCGAGCTTCCCTTTGGATATTAAGCTGTTCTAACCCAAGCTCCTATTAAAGTTAATTTTAGAAAACTTTCATCTCCATGAAGATTTTTTCTTGGTTTCTTGGGGTGGGGTGAAGCTGAGTCCACTTGATACGTCGGCCACTAATTGGTCTATTGTACCAGCTCCGGAATGAGAATTGGCAGGGGAAACTGGAATACTCGGAGAAAACTTGCCCCAGTGTCACTTTCTCCACCCCAAATCTCACATGACTTGACATAGGCTCGAACCAGTGCTGCCGCCTTGGGAAGCCGGCGACTAACTGCCTGATCTGGCGAGGCCTGCCAGCAAGATTTTAGTGTCACTGTATATATATCCTTTATTTTTGAAATTATGTAAAAATTATTAAGGAATATTTTAATGCAATTTTATGAAGAAGTATTACACATTATTGCTCGAATGCCCTTTTATTCTCTTCCCATTTCTGGTATCACGGAAACTCGGGCATGCGTGTTACAGAAATAGCTTCACTGACTCCCCCAGTGTGAGTGGGCAGCTGTTTCCACTCGCATTCCGCTCCGCAGTGGGGCAGTCGTAGCGATTGCATTATTTGAACGTCATCATCTCCAGCAGTTCGTTGCTTTGAAGCTTTCAGCCTAATTTGTCATGCAATCGCGAGGTGACATATCTGAATCCAGGCCGGCTATTCCCGAGATTTTCGTGGTTAGCCTGAATCCCTCCCGGCCTTAAAATAGACCAGGAGAGCTTCTGACATGTTCTCTGACTCACCACAGTATGAAACTTTATCACACCGAACACCATGTTAATAATGGTGACTGAGTCACTAATAAAAGTGAGAGTTCTACTCCTTGTATGGAATGGATTGTATGCAACAATCACGCAACACCTTCTCTGTTGATATAACGTTGCAATGTCCTTTGTCCTGTCGGTGTATTGTTAGGAACATTCTTATATAGTTGATAATACTTGTGGGCCTACATTGGATTGTGATTATTTCATATTTTTATTAACAGGGAGTAGAATACTAAGTCAAGGAGAATCCGATGGTCAGGGCATGTACCACGCATAAGGCGAAGAAGAATGCATACAGGATTCTGGTGGGAGAACTAGAAGGAAAGAGACTACTAAGAAGACCTAGAAGTAGGTGGGAGGGTAATATTAAAATGGTGTTTACAGAAACAGGGTGCGATGACATGAACCGGATTAATTTGACTCAGGATAGGGACCGTGGTTGGTTCTAGTAAACACAGCACTGAAACTTCTGATTCCATGAAATTTGAAATTCTTCGGTACCTGAGCAACTGGTGGCTTCTCAGGGACGACTCATCTCCAGATAATTAGTTTCATTAGGTTTCAGAATGTTTCAGATTGCAGATCTCCAACTGAAATTATTACCAACTTATGTACCCTCTAAATGTTCGCTACTCACGAAGTAAAATCTCAGGACAACGTCACGGCCGTGTTCAGCATGTTGCATTGTATCCTGGCGCCCTCGTTTTGAAGTGTAAATTTTTTTAATTCGCTTAGTGGTGGGTGGAGTCCAACTGGGTCCACTCGGCATGGCGGCCAATGATTGGCCTATTGTAGCCTGCCCCGGGTGATTATGATGATGGAGAATTTGGTGGAATGAAGATTGCAAGGGGAAACCGAAGTACTGGGAGAAAACCCGCCCCAGCGCCACTTTGTCCACCACAAATCCCACTCGACCAGACCCCGGGATCGAACCCGGGCCGCCGCGGTGGGAAGCCAGCGACTAACCGCTTGAGCTATGGCGTGTTTTGAAGTGTAGCTTTCGTGTCTGGGTTGTTCGTGGCTTCCTTCTTTCGCTCCAAGTGAGTATTTCAGTTCAACTTGCCATTTATAGTCATTCTGGTATTTCCGATTTAAATCCGAATAATGATTTAAAATTATACAATTTTTTTTAATAAGCAATACCGGCAGGAAATAGCTCGTTGTCTTCACAGTTTACGCCTGAAATCTTCAATGCTTAAACCCAAATTTTATATTTATCAAAAAAGTTTTATTTCTTGACCCATCTGGCTAAGTAGCTTGCGAGAAGCACGTAAACTGTAGTCAAGAAAGCGAAAGCTTTGCGCTAAAGTATACTGTACACCAAAGACTTTTGAACTTCATAAATATTACTCGATTGATAGATTTTCATGATTTACCTAATAAAAATTTACTTATTTAGTAATGCAGCATTAAATTTATTAAATAGTATATCACATTAACAATATTCACTTCGTTTCAAAGCAGATGACATATTAAACGAGTCCGTTGCCACCGTGTCCTGGGGTTGTGAACAGAAGGAACGGCCACCACGTGTAGATGCCAGATGAGAAGATACTGAAGCAGCAGTCACGAACGGCCTCTGGGGGATTAGCCTCAAGCTACAATGTCGGACAGGAAGCTGCCATCTCGTCTTATAAATTTAGCACGTTTACCAAGTGTTACTAAAATGAATCCCTTAGCTAAAGTTAAGTTCAAAACCTTACGAAAAATAAATATACAAAAAATGAAATGCATAAAGTCAGTAGAACTGCGTGTATAACAAATGCGTTGCCATTCTCGTAGATGTTATACAATGCTTTGAATGATAGAAATTCTGTATACATTAGTGAGGTAGAGGTATTTTTATGGGACAAGACTCCATTTTGCAAAGTAAAGTTAAATTATGTCTACTGTTCATTAAATTGAATTGATTTTTATTTAAAATCCCAAAACAATGGCCACTGTCTTATTTAGTAATAATAATAAGGGCTGAAACGTCACACAAATGTCTGAGACTACGTGTTATAAAAAGCTATTCTGAAAACTGTGCCCAGGAAAATTAAAATTGTGGTCTTCTGTGATGTGACACCTCATAGTTTGCTACCAGTCTAAAGGATATGACATCGCGGAAGGCTGTAAACTTAACGTTCAAAATAAATAAAATGTTTTGCAACTGAAGAACGACACCTAAGTTCTTAAGCAGTGCAGTACCACATAGTTTTTGATAATTAATTATTAAAAATTTTCTGTTGCTCACAGTGAATCACAGATACATTCTTGATTCTGTTTGCTTCTACATAGTGACTCCCTTCCCATGCTGGCAATAAAGCATGAAACGCGCTTTATAAAGCGAAGAAACACACTTGAGATATCGGTTTGTCTTCAGATCGGTCAGTTATTTAGGTCCAGCAAGGCCAACTGCCGGCAGACTTCCCTAGCATTTGATGAAACCCCTTCAAGACTTATAAGTCTGTGTGCCTCCCTCTTCACCACCTGACCGAGCCTTATACTGGAGGGACGGATGCTGCAGTCTATTAATAGCCCACAAGCCTGCGGGCTACAGTGGGCTACCGTGGGCTACATTGCAGCAGCCAGTAAGCAAAGTGTAATAGGAACAGCTGACAGGAAGCCAAGGAGGTGTGCTCTCGCGTTTGGATGCTATTTTAAAGTTAATAGTAACACAGGGAATGCAGGAGAGAGCTGCAGTAGCTGTTGCTGAGTCCAAATGTGTAAGGTGGTATTTCCATGTCCCCCCTCCTCTTCAGCCCCTCTCAACAGCCATGCCATTCATGGTTCTTTTGTTGGAAAGGGAGATGTAATGATGAGGAAGGGGATTCAGGGGAGGGAATGGTTTTGGCACTGTTCTCACTCCGCCTTACCTCCCTCCAACCCTCTAATGCAGAAACTAGCATATGTACATACCCGCACAACCCCCCCCCCCCAACCCTCTCTCTCTTTTCCTATCTCCCACATATTCTCGCACAGCACCTCTACATAT